TAAATATACCCATATGGGATTATATATATTTTTTAAAAATAATAATTAAAATATGAAATTAAAATTAATTTTTTCACTTCCGTTAGAGGAAAAGGGTATATGTGAGCCATTTGTATAGCAAGAGGGGCATATATGAGCTACTTTCATAATGAGGGATATATCAGCTCTAAATAATAAAGTTGAGGGGTATATCAAACCCTTTTCCCAAAAAAGTATTGTCTATGTGAAAAGAGAAAGAAAAGAGAAAATCATATATATTTCAAATGAAGGTATGTACAAAATATATCTATCCATTTTAATAGTGAAAATTTGAATAATGAATGAGAGATGTACAAGATTGGATTTCAATTTTCACCATTGAGAAACGTTACTATGAGTCACGCTTTAGCTATAAAACGTGCTTCAGAGTAACGAATTATAAAACGTTACTGACAATAACGTTTTATGTCTGTTTACTGTCAGATTTTTGTTTTTTTTATTCAATTTTTTTTGAATAAAATATAACCTAAAACTTTACTTTGAACTACGTTTATACTAGTTTTGTAAAATTTCAAAAAAGTATTATTTTGGTAAATTGATTTTTATAATAGCTTACTTTGGTAAAAAAAATCGTGTTTTTGCTTTAGAAGTATACAAAGGTAAAACAGTAATGTAATTCCAACTAAATATCATGTTTCAACTTTCATCACTGTTATTATAAGGGCAAAAAGTCATACAAAATCCAAAATTGATCACAATTGCAATACACCCTTTATTCTCCTGATAATATTTGTTGCCTCTCAAGTAGACACTTCCTTTGATAAACATAGTGTTTCCCTGGAAAATTGTACTATGCTTGATAGTTATCCATTGATCAAAATTCCTCCTGCAAAAGTGACAATTCTTAGATCTCACTGAGTGGTAACAACACACGGTTATATACTCTCATTTGCCTAAGCTTCGGTGGGCAGAGTTGTCTGGTACATGTGCTGGTGGGAACAAACTCGTAAATATCATATGTAGACCAACACAAGAAATGGATTTAGTTGAAGAAACAACACTCCCAAGTAATTAATCAACCGTAGTCAATTTTTGGAAGTCATAAGATAAAAAGCAGTAGATGGCAACGAACACTAGTGATTTTCTAACTGTTGCCTCAGCTTTGGTGGGCAGAGTTGCCGAATAAATATACCAGTGTAGACCAACACAAGCAATGTGTTTAGTTGAGAATAAAGAAACTCTTGATGCATTTAAAATCAACCATTGTCAATTCTTGGAAGTTAAGTTCTAAGAGAAAAACAGTAGATCATGTAAACTCTAAAGCAATTAGCAATTTCTACATTGTATTTTGGCGCTTTCGCGAAATAACTCATATGTCTTCAGTTATATGGTGCTCTAGAGAAAATTATCTCATTACGATGCAGCATCAGCATCAGCATTTCAGTCGGGAAAAAGATTTACTGGTGGATGCCTTCAACAACATCTTTGTGTGACGTCTTCCTTCTCTTCCTTTTCCTCTTCCTTTTCACAGTTCCCTCATCTGTATTTACCTTCTTCTCATTTGTATCCGCAGACTTCTTTTTCTTCTTGAGTACTGAGAGTGGATTTGGACCCTGTAGAAGGGAAGGCATAAACCATAGAGTCATTCAGGAACGAGTTCAGCTAAACATGTATTATGGCAATAACATCCATGAAACATATATTATATAAGTAAATATGGTCCGACTTGATCAATTTAGAGGAACAACAGGCCAAACAATTCACTTACAACATAATATATTCATCTCCGTCACTCAATCTTTTTCAACTCAAAGTTAATAGAGGGATATGCACACAGCAACTAGATGAAGAAAAAGCCTTTGGTTCAGAGCTTAAGAATCACAATTTGCACACAAGCTAAAATAAAAAGATATTTATCAATCTAGATGAAGAAAAATCATTCTTTATGAATCAAGAAACTTTCGGAGTCCTAACAATCATTCATGAAATGACACACACAGAAGTTCCAGAAAACCTCTTTTTATTAAAATCATTATGGTTTCTCAAAAGTTCATGTCACAAACCAGCAAAAGCAGGGATGAGTTTTGTATCCCATGTCTTTCTACATTTACCTGTCACTAACTTAATGTATTCTGCTTTAATAAAATGTTTGTTTACCTATTTTAACGTGTAATGTTTCACATGAAAGTGGAGAATTTGTTCCTAAACAACAGTATTTTAATAGAAAGAGAGAAGCAACAAGTTAAATTTGTAGTTGTGTAAGGGAAAATAAGAATATATTATGAACCCTAACCTTAGCTTTCTTTCTCTTGAAGCGAACTTTATCCTTGACATCACTTCCATTCCTCTTAACATTTGTATTGATAATCTGAGCCTGTGAAACATCAATTATCTTTTCCTCTGATGCAACGGAAGAATCCCCTTGTTTGTCATCGGACAATCTCCTCTTTTTCATTTGTCTAAGCATATTGTACTCCAGGTCAGTCATATGAAGACGTTCTTCTTCAGAAGATTTGGCAAACTGACGTTGAAATGATGAAGGTTGTTCGAGAAATAATGCATTCCTCACAGCAAAAATTACGGGTACACCAGGTATCTACCCGGTTCACGAAAAGGTCAGAAAAAACAGGAGAAAAGGCAGTTGGCATATACATAATAAATTATTCTCCTAAATGTTGGAGGCCTTTCAGGTCCATTTTAAAGTAACACCTGTTTTGTTTGACGAAATATCCTTATTTTGATAAGTGCTTTTCGAAAAAGTAAGCAGTTTGTGCTTTAGTTAATCAAATTGAAAAGAACTTATTAGAACAGCAATTTATGCTTGGCTGTGGTTTCAGAAGTGCTTTTGGGAAAAATTAAAGCTACTGTTTTCAGCTTCTACTGCTACTTAAAAGCACTTAATTTTTTTCCCTAGAAGTATGGTAAAACACCTCAACCCACTAAAATACGCACCTAGGAAAAAAATCAGCAATTTTGACTCCCGAGAAGCTTGTCCAAACAAGCTATAAGAGTTAGAGATACAAAATAGATTCTGGTCAATCCCTCGCGAGTACATAAAATACCATTCAAATTGCCAAACAGTGTGGAACTGTTAATCTTACCCCCAGAAGGAGACAGAAATATTTTACAGTTTTATCATCTTAGTCCCACATGCTAAGGTCAACTAGTGAACCATAATATGGGATTTTTCCAGTTCACATGTTTTAGTAAGTGATATGACTGATATTACAATATATATATATATATATATATATATATATATATAGGACACAGAGGCGTATTCAGGATTTCCGTAAGATGGGTGCACAATTACAAAAAAATGTATCTTAAATATAAATTTGATCGGTTTGACTTTTAGGTTTTTAATATGAACCATTAAATTTTAAAAATTATAGGTCCAAAACATATAATGCTACTAGTTTTAAATTTTCATATACACATTTGATTTAATTATATAAAAAATTTACAGTGTTAATTTTTTTTAGGAATTTTTAATGTAACACACTTGAAATTTTTGAAAGATTAAAGGAAAAAAACAAAAGAATAATTAGTTGAAACGCCAAAAGTGTAACCAATAACCACTTAGAGAGGTGTTAGTAAAAAACAAGACAGATATGAGATTTAAATTTCTATTCTCACTTAGAGGGGTGCACCCAATCATCTTCGTATAATTATATGATACTTTGAACGTGGGTTCACACATCTATTTTTAAATATTTTATAAAAAAATATAACACTACTATATATTATCTAGAGAGGGGAGCATGGGTTCACGTGAACCCACGACACCCCCTCTAGATACGCCCCTGATAGGACATTATAAATCGAGTCCAAATACCTTTTGAAGACTTCTTCGCAAATCAGCATCTTGAGTAGCAACAAAAAAGTGTTCAGAATTGTTCTCCCCAATAACTTCAGTTATGCAATCTTCAGCACTTTTCCGCCTCTCATGGCCGCATCTGCAATAGAGTAAGATGTGGCATAACTCAAAAGAATATCCTGAGAACTGAAGCAACAAGCATCCTGCTCTTGAGAGAGCCAGCAAGAAGAAGAGAATAAATCGCTAACCGTGCAGTACAAAGGTTTTTAGCTGCATTCAGTGCTTCGGATTTACCAAGGCTCTTCAACTCCGCAAGAACGCATCTGCAAGCAAAGAGGAGACAGGAAGTGACCAAACAGTTTAAAATCAAAACATATTTAGCTTGTGTGCAAACAAAGTTAGATCAAAGAGACAAATGGAGCTGTTGAAATAAACCTGGTTACAAAAAGTTTAACTGTGGCGCCAAGAATATTTTCCAATGCAGTATCAGGTGTTATGTGATTACCAACAACATAATTCACAAATGTTCCATCACAGAAGATTTTAAACGGCTCTCTAAACCCAAAACAAGCTTTGTAAAACGTTACAGCTCTCCTATGCCGCTTCTGTTTTTTCACTCTCATCTGTCAGCAGGCAAGATAAAAGAAAAGATAAGCAATACATATCATGAAGCTAAGGGCAAGTTCAATTCATTAAAATTTTAAGAAATCATAATGTGATAATTATCAAAGTTGCAAGCAAAACCTATGTTAATCGCTGGAGAATTAAAATTTCAGAATTATCAATTCATTAATTATATACCCTCTAATCATCTAATTCATTCTTATCCAATTAATGATGGTTGTCAGAATTGTCGGCACTCCTATCACAATTCATGTTCATCTAATTTTCATCACTATAATACACTAGAATTTATTTTTTATGGGCATAGAGTTAAGCCTCTTACCTTGACGCGAATTAGCTTGGTTCCACGACGCTCTGCACAGGTAGTTTCTCCCTCCCTTTATTTTCTTTTCTTTTTCTAAAATAACTAGGGTTTAATATTAAGTAGACTCTAAGAATCCTAATTGAAATTGAACACACTTTGTAGAGTCCCAATTCAAATTGAATGTAAAGTCCACAAAATTTTAATGTCTACGGGTGTTCATGGTTTGGATAAAAACCGATCCAAATAAAAAAAATCAAACCAAACCGATTAAATGAACCGATTTAATTTGGGTTTTGGTTTGGTTTGGTTTTAGATTGTTAAGAACCGATAGTCATTGGTTTGGTTATGGTTTTGTTCGAAAAAAATCGAAGAAATAACCGAACCGAACCAACAAGTTATATAGATAAATTTTATTATAATACATACATAATATATTATATTCATAAACAATTTTAAAGATTTTATATATGTTTCATCAAAATTTATTTATAATTTACTTATGAAAGAAAAAATGTCGAAGGTGAGAACATTTTTTCTTATTGGTTTCATGTATATGAGTGTCTATGGAAATTCATTGTGGGACTGAAAATGTCATTGTCTCTTCCTTCTATGCCTAAATAGTGAGTTTTGAAGTTTTATTCAGTAAATTTAATGATCCAAAGTTCTGTAATGCCAATCATTTTAACTATTTTTTCTTCGAATGGATTGTTGTCACTTTTTTCACGTTTTGAATGAATTGTTTCTTTTATTTTTATGTATGGTTAGTAACCGAAAAACCAAACCAAACCAAACCAAAACCAAAAACAACCAAACCGATAAATGTATATTATATTATATTTGGTTTGGTTTCGTTTTGATAATTTTAAAACCGATTAAGTTGGTTTGGTTTTGATTTTGACCAATAACCAACTCAAACCAACCCGTGAACACCCCTATCTACAACTAGTTGCTTAGTTGACTTTCAATTGATATATTTGTTGGGAAAACGCGGACTAACATAAAAATATATATGGTCAAAATAATGGAAATAAAATGAGAAAAATAATGATACCAAGAATTTTACGTGGTAACCCTTCTAAATAAGGAAAAAATCACAGGCCAAGAGAAGCAACTGATATCACTATAGTAAGGAATTTTACACCGTGTAGTCACAAATACAATACTCAAAGTGACTACTACACACTCAAAAGGAATAACACTCTTTTGGTTTCACCTTACTAAAATATCGCTCACATTCTATTTTTTTTACAGACTATTTTTCTTATATAGTCTATGGAATACCTCACTTTGCTCTCAAAATGGTTTTTTCTCTCTAACTTGGTGTGTTCTACAAATGAGCAAGAATGCTCTATTTATAGAAGGAGAAAACCATGCTTATGTCACTAATGACATAGCAAATGTAGCAAAGTCCAAAGGGTTGCAAATCTTACTAATTTGCCAACTGCCAAATCTTTTATTTTCAGCTCTTATCACTATTCCTTTTTAACAATTACTTGTAGCAATTGAGTAGCAAAAGTTGACCAAAAAATATGGGATGGACTCCACAAATCTCCCCCTCCAGTCCCATTTACCAAAAGGACGTATCTTCAATTTCTTTAGAGAGAGCTCATACCCACAAGTTCTTTGCATAATTCGAACTTGTCTTTCGGTATCACCTTAGTCAACATATCCGCAGGATTTTCACTTATGTGAATCTTTTTAACATGAAGTGATTCACTCTCCACTTGCTCACGAATCCAATGATATATGACGTCGATGTGTTTTGTCCTTGCATGGTACATGATGTTCTTGCTCAAGTCTATTGCACTCTGGTTGTCACAATAGACAATATACTCCATCTGATGCAAACCAAGCTCTTGAAGAAATCGCTTTAGTCATATCATCTCATTGCCAGCTTCAGTAGCCGCAATATACTCAGCTTCAGTTGTAGATAGTGCAACACACTTCTGCAACTTCAACTGCCATGATATAGCTCTCCCTGAAAAAGTAAACAAATATCCAGTAGTGGATTTCCTGTTATCAAGGTCACCTGCCATATCAGCATCTGTATAGCCCTTCAAGATTGGATCTGATGCTCCGAAATACAAGCATTCATCTGAGCTTCCTCTAAGATACCTGAGTATCCACTTCACAGCTTCCCAATGTTCTTTATCCTGGATTGTCGAGAAATATGCTGACAACACCAACTGAGTGAGCAATATCAGGTCTAGTGCATACCATTGCATACATTAGACTTTTGAGGACGGAGGAATATGGAACTTTGGCCATGCTCTCTTTTTCCTCCCTAACTGTAGGACACATCTTCTTGCTCAACTTCATATGACCAGCAAGAGGTGTACTAACAGGCTTAGCATTCTTCATAATGAAGCGCTCTAGTACACGTACAATGTACTTCTTCTGGGACAAATAAATTTTCCTTTCATCTCTGAGACGAGTAATTCTCATGCCCAAAATTTATTTGGCATGACCTAAGTCTTTCATAGCAAAAGACTTACGCAACTCTTTCTTCAACTAGTCAATCTTGGAAGTATTATTTCCCATAATCAACATATCATCCACATACAACAAGAGATTATTGTCAGAAAATTTGTCTACAAATACACAATGATTTGATGAAGTCTTCTTATAGCCTTGCTCCCCCATAACAAATTCAAACTTCTTGTACCACTGTCTAGGAGCTTGTTTTAGACCATAAAGACTATTTCTGAGTTTGCACACTTATTTACCTTCTACTTTGAAACCCTCAGGTTGTTCCATATAAATCTCTTATTCTAGGTCATCGTGAAGGAAAGTCGTCTTCACATCCATCTGCCCAATCTTTAAATTAAGACTAGCAGCCAAACCTAGAACTGTACGAATCGAGGACATTTTCACAACAGGAGAAAATATTTCGTCAAAGTCAATACCCTTCATTTGACCAAATCCCTTAACAACCAATTTAGCTTTGTACCTGGGCTTCAAGTTGTGTTCTTCAACTTTAACTTTTAACGCCCACTTGTTCTTCAAAGCTCTCATGCCCTCGAAAAATTTTACCAACTCATAAGTGTGGTTCTCATGCAGAGACTTAATCTCATCTTGCATGGCTTCAATCCATTAATCCTTGTGCTCATCTTCCATGGCCTCCTCATAACATTCAGGTTCTCCTTCGTCAGTGAGTAACACATACTTATTGGGTGAATAACGAGAGAAAGGAACCCGTTGTCTTGTGGACCTCCTAAGCGGAATATTTAATTTGTCCACAACTTCATGAGCATGAGGATTATCAATAACAACATCAACATGTTAATTCGTTACATGATTATGGGTGTCACCATGATCATCAATCCCAACAACATCATGCATACTTGTGTGAGGAACTTCATCTAGATGAACTGTGCCATCAAAACTTGAAGATTCTAGCTTCTCCGCTTTGTCAATATCTTCAATTGTTTGAATCTTCATGAAAATAATATCACCGCTTCTCACGAGTTTCTTCTCAATTGGATCATATAGCCTATAACCAAATTCATCAAGGCCATATCCAATGAAGATGCATTGCCTTGTCTTGGCATCTACCTTTGACCTCTCATCTTTCGGCACATGTACAAAATCTTTGCAATCATATACTCTCAAATGGTCATAGGAAACATCATTTCCATACCAAACACTATTTGGTGCATCACTTTGCAAAGCAACAACAGAAGATAGATTAATAACATGTGTAGCGGTCAATAAAGCCTCACCCCAAAATGAGTTCGGCAACTTTGCTTCAGAAAGCAAGCATCTAACTCTTTCCATCAAGTACATGTTCATTCTCTCAGCCAAACCATTAAGCTGAGGAGTCTTAGGAAGAGTCTTCTGGTGTCTAATACCTTGACGCTTGCAGTATTCGTCAAATGGTCCACAATATTCACCACCATTATCAGTACGAATACATTTCAGTTTCTTTCCAGTTTCTCTTTCAGCTGAAGCTTGAAACTGCTTGAAGACACCTAACACTTAGTCTTTAGTCTCCAGGACATAGACTCAATTTTTTCTCGAGCAGTAGTCAATAAAAGTGACAAAGTAGAGTGCACCACCCAATGTCATTGTCTTCATTGGACCACATAAATCAGAGTGCACCAACTCAAGCAACTTTGTCTTTCTCGAAGGAGGGTAGGACTTAAAGGAAACTCTATTTTGTTTACCAGCCAAGTAGTGCTCACACTTTTCTAATTTAGCACTTTTGAAATTTGACAATAATTTTTTCTTGGCTAGAACATTAAATCCTTTTCTCGCTAATGTGGCTAAGCCTCTTGTGTCATAACGTTGACGAGTTATCGCTCTCAACCGCATTCACCATATCAATATAAGCAGAGGTCGTAGTCCAGTATAGACCACGACGTTTTTTACCACAAGCCACAACTAAGGAATCCTTAATGAGTTTTCATTTTCCATCACCGTTGGTACTAACATATCCTTCATCATCTAAAACACCAACAGAAATCAGGTGCATGTTTCATATTGTTCAAAACTAGTTTAGTTCCAACACTAATTTCCAAACAAACTGTACCAATACCAACCACCGTAGAAACAGTCTCATTACCCATACTCAAGGTTCCAAAATCACCAGGAGTATAGCAAGAGAAAAAATTCTTCCTTGAAGTCACGTGAGATGCGGCACCCATTTCCACAACCCAGCTTGGCTCATCATAAGCAATATTTATCATATCTACATCAAGTACGGTAACAAGATCTGCGGTGGTGACGGTGGCTAGGCAATTTTCATTGCCTTCTTTTTTAGTTTCTTCTTTGGTTTTGTTTTCCCTCTTCAACTTCCAGCAGAACTTCATTGTTTGCCCTTTCATGCCACAATGATAACACTCAATATCCTTAAGTCTGCCTCTGGATTTGCTCCTATTTTGTTCTCTATTCTGAGAACCACGAGTTTTGTTTCTCCCTCTGGAGTCAGTTATCAGGACATCCGACGAAGAAGAACCTTGAGATTTTCTTCTCATCTCTTCGTTCAAGACACTACTCTTGGCAAAATTCATTGAGATCACACCATCCGGAGCAGAGTTTGACAATGAAGTTCTAAATGTTTCCCAAGAGTCTAGTAGGGAACCAAGTAGAAGCAAGCCTTGAATTTCTTGATCAAATTTGATGTCCATAGCAGATAACTGGTTCATGATCCCTGAAAATTATTCAGATGGTTTGTCATCAGAGAACCAGCATGATACTTTAAACTCAACATCTGCTTTATTAAAAAGATTTTATTGTTGCCAATTTTTTTAGCATACAAACTTTCAAGATGCTCCCATAGGGTTCGAGCATGCGTCTCCCCAGAAATATGGTTCAACACATTATCGTCAACCCATTGCCTAATGAATCCACAAACCTGCATGTGCAACAGATTCGACTCTTCATCTGTTTTATTATCAGGCTTTACAGTGGTAAAGACTGGTTTGTAAAAATTCTTGACATAAAGCAGATCTTTCATTTTCCCCTTTCAAATGGCATAATCAACACCATTCAAAGTAACCATTCAACTTGTGTTGGCTTCCATCGTTTTTTCCCAAAAAAATAGTAGTTGCAAACAAAAGTAAATCTTTTCTGATGTGGGAGTTCAGACTGTGCTGCAACCACAAAGCATACTCAAATAAAACCTTGGCTATGATACCAGTTTGTTGGAAAAACACGGACTAACATAAAACTATATATGGTCAAAATAGTTGAAATAAAATGAGAAAATAATGACACCAAGAATTTTACGTGGAAACCTTCTAAATAAGGGAAAAATCACGGGCCAAGAGAAGCAACTGATATCACTATAGTAAGGAATTTTACACCGTGTAGTCACGAATACAATACTCAAAGTGACTACTACACACTCAAAAGGAATAACACTCTTTTGATTCCACCTTAATAAAATATCGCTCACACTCTATTTTTCTTCACAGACTATTTTTCTTATATAGTCTATGGAATACCTCACTTTGCTCTCAAAATGATTTTTTCTCTCTAATTTGTTGTGTTCTACAAATGAGCAAGAATGCTCTATTTATAGAAGGAGAAAACCATGTCTATGTCACTAATGACATAGGCAAATGTAGCAAAGTCCAAAGGGTTGTAAATCTTACCAATTTGCTAACCATCAAATCTTTTATTTTCAACTCTTATTGCTATTTCTTTTTAACAATTACTTTTAATAATTGAGTAGCAAAAGTTGACCAAAAAATATGGGATAGACTCCACAATATTTGCTATCTTCAGTAATTGTTCTTAGGATCAAGTTGAATGTCGTCTTGCTTAATAAATTTTACCAGTAAACAATATGTTTTCACTTTTAAATCTTTATACCTTTTGCTAATTGTAGCCCTTGTTTGATACTTATTTCATTAATCATATATAGTTCTTTATTGCATTCTCCTGTACTTAGGAAAATTGAGGAGGTGAAGAAGATTACATATTTGTAAAGGAATTCACCTTTTTAAGAAAAAAATATTTCATTTGGATTCTCCCGTGTATATTAGAACTAGTCTCTGGACACGTGTTTCATGTGAATTTTTATAGATTCGTTAGAACAATTAAAATTTTATACAAATCGTGTGAAGTGAGGAATATTTTTTAATGTGCCTCAAGAAACACCAAATAAGGGGAACATTGTAATGTTTAAAATCAATTCCTTTGAAGCTACCGTCGGTAAATCAATTCCGTTGAGCTATTATCGGTAATTTTTTAACTTTGTTTAGTAGTTAACACACTTCCAATAAAGTCACATGACTAATGTGAGCCATATAGCAATACATACTTACGATAATGATAAAAAAAATTCATAAAAATTATATTGGTGAAGTCTAATAGAGAAAAAACACACAAA